GTAGTCGACGGGTTGGTTCAGATTTTTGTAAAGTCAATGCGAGATGCGAAGTCGGACACAGATGAGGAGCTGCACCATCTCGGAGCCGAATCCTCGGACGAGGAACACCACATCGACGGGAAGCAGGGGTATCAATTGCTGACCGAGGTCAAGAATGGCGCGTCGATGTCGTCCTTATTCTCAATCCTCTCACTGTTCACGGAGGACATTCAACTACGGGATACCGAGAGCTCCACCTCCAGTTCCTCTAGCATCGCCCTACGCGCTGCTCGTGTACCCAACTCAATCCCAACGAGTCCTCGGGGAATGATGGACAGCCCTTCCTTGGGCTTTCAAGACCACAGCGACGATACCTCTATTATGATCAGCAACGGAGATCTGCCATCCGTGCCCCCGCTGCATCTGGGAGATAGCCGCACTCCTCCCTCCGGCCATGACCAGCACCATCAGCAGCACCATGAACCTCGGAAGCACCCTAACAGAAATCGCCGGAAGTCGGTCCATCCTGACATTGTTGCCCGTGCTATGGTGGATACCACAATCGCAATCATCCCAGCCAGCGCTTTCCGGCGACTGACCAGGGTCTATCCAAGGGCGACCGCCCACATCGTCCAGGTCATCCTCACTCGCCTACAGAGAGTTACGTTTGCAACGGCGCATTCCTATCTCGGTCTCAGCAACGAGGTGCATGGTATTGAAAAGCAAATGACCAAGTTCACCACATATGATCTGCCAAACGACATGCGCGGCGCAGCTCTGGATCGCCTCAAAGACAAGTTCATCAAGGAGCGGGATCGCTTAGGCTCTGAGGAAGTTACGAAGGGGATTGCCCTACACAATCCATCTACCGGTAGACGACGCCGATCGAGCAGCTTCATGAGAAAGGAGGCTGCGCTGCAAGTCAGGATGATGACACCTAGACGCACGGCCACAGTGGTTACCTCGGAGAGTGCACCCACCGATCATGACACATATGGAGTTAGCCCAGGCGACCTGTTGTCGACCATTCAATCCTCTAGGTTTGGCCCCAGATATGAGCAGCCTCCTTCAAAGCTACAGTCTCCTTTGGCCGAAAAAGAGAACACCCATTTCCGGCTTCCAGCCATGCAAGCGCGTCATAGTTTCCGCCGACAAGACGCCATGGACGAGGATGCGCTGTTCCGCGACTGCATCCTGGATTGCATCATGAAGGCGATCGGTCTCACGAGTAGTACTCGTGACGCTTTGCGCAAAAGCAGCCATTCTGGCGAGGCGTCTCCCAAGCTTCTTTCCTATGATTCTCGACGTCAGAAGGCGATCTTCGCCAACAACGCCTTTGGCTTTATTGACCCATATGAAGGCTCGGCAGATGGAGAGACAGAGTCTTTGATGTCCATGTCTGTAACGAGTGCAGGGGGCACATCGCCAGTGATCAACTTACGGGAAGAGCTCCGTAACGACATCGAGATCGTCTATTTCCCTAAGGGTTCGGTCCTGGTGGAGCAGGGAGAGCGCCACCCAGGTTTATACTATGTGATTGATGGATTCTTGGACGTAGGTGTGCCGATTGTCGAGAAAGGGGAAGATCTTGTGGGGGTGTCCAAACCAGCAGCTTCGAAGGAGCCTTTTCCGACCCTTAAGCGGACGACAACTGCCAACTCGATTGGCGCGGGCGGCACAGCTGCCAATGATTCTCGCCGAAGAAAGCAATCTCGAAAATCCCTGTATCTGATCAAACCCGGCGGTATTCAAGGCTATGTTGGGGCAGTAGCGTCCTATCGATCTTCCACCGATGTCGTTGCCAAGACGGACGTCTACGTTGGCTTCCTCCCACGGGCGTCTTTGGAGCGCATCGCGGAGCGGTATCCGATCGCTTTGCTGACGCTTGCGAAGCGGCTGACAAGCGTCCTTCCACGTCTGCTCCTCCACATCGATTTCGCTCTCGAATGGGTACAAGTGAATGCCGGTCAAGTTATCTACCACCAAGGCGACGAGAGCGACGCAATTTATCTTGTCTTGAATGGACGATTGCGGTCAGTTCTTGAAAGTCCGGGCAACAAACTAGCCGTCATTGGCGAATACGGCCAAGGAGAGAGCGTGGGTGAGCTCGAGGTGATGACCGAGTCCACTCGCCCGGCTACTCTTCATGCGATCCGTGATACCGAATTGGCCAAGTTCCCAAGATCTCTCTTCAACAGCCTCGCCCAGGAACACCCGGGAATTACCATTCAGGTCTCTAAACTGATTGCCCAGCGGATGCGGGATTTGGTCGAACGCCCGGTGACCGAGAAAGGTGTCGAACGAAGCAACGCTGGTGGTGTGCAAACGGCAACCTCGACCGTCAATCTCCGCACCGTGGGCATTCTGCCCGTGACGGCGGGCGTTCCAGTGGTCGAATTCGGTAATCGACTATTGCACGCTCTTCATCAAATTGGAGTGACGAACGGGGTTACATCGCTCAACCAGGCGGCCATTTTGAATCATCTAGGGCGCCATGCGTTCAGCAAGATGGGCAAGCTCAAGTTGTCCCAGTACCTTGCCGACCTAGAAGAGAAGTATGGCATGGTTCTTTACATCGCTGACACTAACGTGAGCTCTCCGTGGACGCAAACGTGCATCACGCAGGCCGATTGCATTCTTCTGGTCGGTCTGGCCGAATCATCCCCCAGTATTGGAGAGTACGAGAGGTTCTTGCTTGGCATGAAGACTACGGCGCGGAAGGAGCTCGTATTGCTGCACTCGGAGCGGTATTGTCCGCCTGGACTGACTCGGCGGTGGTTGAAGAACCGAGTATGGATCAATGGCGGCCACCATCACATTCAAATGGCCTTCCGACTGACGGCCGAGCCCTCACATCCGGAAACCAAGCGCTTCGGAACAGTTCTCAAGCAACGGGTCCAGGTGCTGCAGGCTGAAATCCAAAAGTACACATCACGGAGGATTCGCCAGACACCACTTTATTCCGCTCAATCCCCGTTCAAAGGCGATTTCCATCGTCTTGCGCGTCGGCTGTGTGGCAGAGCTGTTGGTTTGGTGCTTGGTGGAGGAGGAGCAAGAGGTATTGCGCACGTTGGTGTGATCAAGGCACTCGAGGAGGCCGGTATCCCTGTTGACATTATCGGCGGCACATCTATCGGTTCGTTCATTGGTGCGTTGTATGCTCGAGATGCAGACGTGGTTCCCATGTATGGCCGTGCGAAGAAGTTTGCTGGCCGCATGGGAAGCATGTGGCGGTTCGCGCTGGATCTGACGTACCCGACGGTCTCCTACACGACCGGCCACGAATTCAACCGCGGAATCTTCAAGACCTTTGGTGATAGCCAGATCGAGGATTTCTGGCTTGAGTTCTACTGCAACACTACCAACATCAGCAAATCGCGCCCCGAGTACCACTCCTCTGGATATGTCTGGCGCTACGTGCGTGCATCCATGTCGCTTGCGGGTCTGATCCCGCCCATTTGCGATGAGGGAAGCATGCTCCTCGACGGCGGCTACATTGACAATCTGACCGTCGACCATATGAAAGGTCTCGGTGCGGATGTGATCTTCGCCGTTGATGTGGGTTCTATCGACGACAACACGCCTCAAGTCTACGGAGACTCCCTCTCCGGATTCTGGTCCGTCTTCAATCGCTGGAACCCGTTCTCCTCGTGCCCCAATCCGCCAACATTATCCGAAATCCAAGCACGTCTGGCCTATGTCTCGTCCATTGACAACCTGGAGCGCGCCAAGAACATCCCGGGCTGTCTGTACATGCGTCCCCCTATAGATGGATACGGCACGCTGGAGTTTGGCAAGTTTGATGAGATCTACCAGGTCGGATACGCCTTCGGCAAGGAGTTCCTGGAGAAGCTGAAGACCGAGGGGTCTCTCCCGTTGCCGGAGGAGACTGAGGAGAAGAAGAAGCTGCAACGTACCATGGCTCCCCGCCGAGCCAGTATATGATTAGATGTTGTCTTTTGTTTTTGAGCGTTCATTTGTTGCATTATACCAGACACTTGACTCTTATATTGCATGCATGAACGTGACCAGTTCCGGCTGTTCATGCGGTTCCTTGGTTGACTTGATGTACCTATATAGACCCTCGGAGTGTACTATAGAATTGAAGTACGACGCATTGAGCTTTGCAATTTATAGATGCAATTGACCCGTCCACTGCTGTGGGGCAAACACAGACTACCTACTTACCTAGTGACCCCATGTAATCAAGGACTTCCCTTGTTACTTCGTCAAACTCCCGCCCGACCCTCTTTACCCTTGTCTTCCGTTCTAGCCTCATCTTATTGAGCCTCCATCTCCTCTTCCTCCTCGTTAGCTTCCCACTTGTTGTTCTCGAATTCTTGATCATCCTGTTTCGCCTTCTTTCATCTTCTCAGTCTGTTCTTTCAGCTCGATGACCTCGACATCCTGCTGCTTTCGTTCGCAGAATGTCCGTCTTCGCTGTGTCGTATCTCCTGTCCCCTCTTTTTTCGCCCCGTAATTCCTCGCCTTCCGTAGCAACCTTGTCCGCAGTCTGGGCTATTTAACTGAGCTGGTATACTCTGCTTACTCTTGTCTTCCGAAGCGTCACATCGAGACTCGCCTGAAAAGCAATTGACGATTGAGGTCTGTTGGAGGTATTGTAGATCGAGAACTTGCACACAGGTTCGGAGACAGAACCGAAATCCCGCAATATAGGGACTCAAATGCATTTAATGAATGCATGTACCATCAAAATGGATAATTGTTTATCTGAGGCTCAAGGTGAACAAAATGTGGGTATCTCCACAACACCATTGAACCAACGACTACATCACATCATTAGGGGTATGGTATGGGTATTAGTACTAAACATTAACGTCATCAGAGAAATCAACGCATCACCTCCCTCATACGAGCCCGCTCATCGTTCATCCCAGACGAGAATCACCATAATCCCGGCTCGTGTGTTATCATCTCGTAGCTTCATCTTTCATTGCCAGGCGTCCCCTAACCGATCATACCAGCCGTAGAAAGCCATTTAGCAATCACAACGCAGGCACCTAGACCGCCGTAGTAGTAGTGGCAGGCGCAGCGCCGTGGACATTCTTCTCGCGCACGGGCGCATTCTCGCGACGGTACGCCGAAAGGGAGGCGATCTCGAGGAACATCCCGGCGAAGGTGAAGAAGCTGATTCCAAGCTTTAGCTATCGTTCCAGCAAAAATTCAAACAAGACAATGAAGGGTTGAGGAACATACAATGCCAGGAAGATGAAAGCCTCGTTGGCCTTTTTCTTGCTGCAGTCGACGAACGGGGGCGCGTTGAAGTAGCAATTCTGCTCGTTGTAGTCTTGCGCGGCGAAGATGAAGGCCGTGAGCCAGCTTCGATTCTATTAGCTTGCATCGGGTTGTGAGAGAGAAGGGGAGAAGCATACAGGTATGAGAAGATGACGTCGATACCAAGGACGAATTTGCTCAGGGCCGTGGGCATGAACGGGGAGATGAAGGCCGGTAGGAAGAAGGCAACCGACAGCGTGGACTATCCCGTCAGTATCCAGACATAATGGTATGCGTAAGAGGGAACATACGATGACTTCCTGGTAGATAAGATGCTGGCCGCGAGGACCAAGGTGGATGAAGTAGGAGGTGATGCCCATCACGATGACCGCGCTGGACCACTGCATCACGCGAGTGATGAGCTGCAGCGGACGAGCAACGGCAGTCGACAACATGGCTGCTATTGTGTGATAGTGGAGGGAGATGTAAAGGCAGGGACAAGTGTTTATGCTGCAGCGAGGTGTAGTCGTGTGCAGCAGAGCCAACCAGCGTGTCAATAGTTGATATATCAAGAGACAACAAGTTAGGGGCGGACTGGACGCAGACTTTATACATCAACGAGGGGTATCAGAGCGAGCCGAATCAACCGGAATCCAGGTTCGCTTCATGCATCCTGCGTCACGGGCGCTGCACTGCTGCCAAAGGGGCATAGTCCACAAAGCATACGGACATGCTTGCTATCCCCAGATGCGTCATAGTCTTTTTTCTTTCCGATGCAAGGAATCCAGAACATGATTGTTCATCTGCATCGTGAGCGAGCACCGACGGTGATTGGCTCGAGCTGGGTGGTACAAGCGGCCGAGCTCACCCAGCTCACCTTGCATACCGTAATGGGTACATGCTCAAAGAAGGCCCAAAGGCAGTTCCAGTGGATTCTATCCCGTCAATGCGGTATGCAGCATACTGTTGTCTCACAAGCGGGGGAGAAGCCTAATCCTCAATCAAGGGGGTCCCCATCGGGCTGCAAATTGATCATCAGAAACCGGTCTGATCTACACGGGAAGGTGTAGGTATCCGGAAGGAGTCTGAGGATGTACACAAACTGAGACAGGATGGAATCACTGCAGCCAGCCTAGATTTTTGAGCTGTTGTTGCGTGAGTCATGAGGAAGGATGTCCAGTCGGCAACCCGCGGAATCGAGGAGATCGTCTGCAGTCGGCTTTTTGTGAAGACTTGAGAAAGCTGATCAATTATCCCGCTAGTAGTCACTAGTCGGAAGTCAATTCAGAACCTTGTTGTCATCATCAATAACGGCTGGAATGTGGATGAAAGTATCAGGCGATTCGATCTGCATGCATTGACCGAGAGGGGAACACACAAGTCTGGCGGTCACTTATTTGGAGAGTCGGAACATCTCTAACCAGTTATTATAGAGGTACAACTGACTCGACGGAGCTCTAAACAAGATCAGTGTCATCAGGGATAAGGGACCCGATAATACACATTGATATCAGGCCAGTTTTGTTCAAAAGGGTTGGAATTTCTCAAGCCGGGAGACATGGCTTCCAACGCGGAGGATCTCATTGATGGACTGACCGACCAACCGAGTAACAGAATCAGATGATCACAAATGCTTTTCTCAACCTTCTGTATTCCTCTAGACTATGGTCTTTTCCACTATTGAATCGACGTTGGGATTGGCTTTGACTCCAGCAGTAGCGCCAACAGTGGGAAGGTTCAAGGAAGTAGGACATGATCGACAAACAGAACCAACCAGTAGATCACCCTATTAGCACCACCTGCAACAATCATGTGAATAACAATTTCCAGGCCAGCACGGATTTCTCTTGTCCTATTGCGGAACAGTCGGCACCTATGCGTAAGATTTGATTCATCGGCTTCACTACGAGATTGACTTTCAGCCTTGTCAATAGAGGCAGAACCTACTTTTCAGTCTACAGGGCTGAGATCTGCACCGAGAGCGATGGACCCTCGCTAATTCGCTGCAATGACGTTTGAAGTTCATGGACAAAATAACCGTACGGGAAAGCATACCGTCGTATGATTTGAGCCTTCATACTGTCACCTCACTTTCCAACCGAGAAAAGTCCGAGCGCAGACAGGGGTCAAGCATGGGTCAAATGATTGAACTCTTTTGCTGTCTATCTACCATAGAGGAATACTCGTTCCAATCCCTTGCCGAAGGTCTGAAACTCTGTACTCAACCAACCCCGTCTTTAGAGGAGTCGGTCTGCCTAGCTGTGCAGGTACTTGTACATCTGCAGTAGAATGTCCGGGCAGTACAACGATCATTTGATCCACCAGTTACAGATTGAAAAAATCCATCATGCAGTCTTTTTCTACTATCCAAGTACCATAACACTATTACATCACAAGCGATTCGTAGTATGACTTTTGAATCAACCTGCACCTGGGCAAACCCTTCACACAGATGTGATACCCTTGCCCTGACGCCAGACTCCCTAAGTCCTGTGCTCACGCTATAAATACAAACATAGTAAGAGGTAGATCTCTTCGTCCTCATCCCTGTTGTGAATGCCTGAATTGAATCCACGTGGAGTCAAACCATATTACCACGAGGTGACATTCCCCAGGTCGTGCTCCTATTGTATCGTTAGTCATTCCACTCCAAACGTCTCAGTAGATATATCACCTGACGTACCTTAATGTACTCGCTTCCTTTTTCCAGATATTCCTCCCGTGACACAGAGTAATTCTTCAATCCCGATCCGGATGCCCATTGTGCTGCACCCTTCCATGCATCCAGCACCGGGTCCGAGGCCCGGCGCACGTTCAGTTGCGCATCTACAGGCAAGTATCCCCCAAGTTCATTGCGAAGTCTCTCATCGAATCCTTTGAAGAGAGTGTTGCCGCCGGTGAGGAACACGTCACGCAGCATTTTGGCCTGATCCTCCGGGTTGGAGAACCGCTGGTTAACGATACCGGCCGCAATTTCCAAGAGGCCAGCCTGGTCGATTCCGGCAATCGATGGCTTGAAAACGACCTCGGGCACTCGGATCCGCTCAACATTGAGATGGATCTGATTAGCCTCACGTTGACTTTCAGGATCAAATGGCCAGGGTCCACGCAGGAAAACATGTACCAGGCTCTTGGTCCAGTCAGACTGCGCAGCAAGAGTGTGGTTCTCTGTAAACTCGGGATCGTACTGAAGAAGCTCGTTCTCAACGTTGTTGAGCATTTCGCCGAGGTCTTCCTCTTCCTCCTCGTCACTCTGTTCTCCGGTTGCCACTGTGCGATAAACACCCCAGTCCTCATCGTTGGCGCCGAAATCATCGTCGTCACCTCCTCTCCTTCTCTTCTTCGGCCCATCCGCAGCGAGGTTTGCAAGGGTTTTCATACGCATCTGGCTGGCGAGCGACTTCCGATTACCCAGATCCGCCTTCATCCTATCACGCTCCTTGATCTTTTGCAGGATATTCTACGAAAAGTTAGTTATGTTGTCGAATTCACGCAAGAATCAACCCACCTGGCGAGCAGCTCTTCGTTCGGCGACCCAGTTCTCAAAGTCCTTCTCTCGCTTCTCCCGATCCAGACGCTCCTCTTCCTCTCTTCGTGCCTTCTCGCGTTCCTTCTCGGCCTTGGCACGTTGCCGAGCCTCGATGTTCGACTTCATGAGTCGCTGGTGGCGCTTCTCCTTCAAGCCTGCCTCGTCCAACTCTTCGTCTGGAACATCTAGAAGTGGGAAAGACATATCTTCAGGAGGCTCTTCAGCCTCTTCGACTCCTAGATCTCGGTTTCTAGAGCGCTTGATGGACCGTTCGAGGTCACGAATCAGCCGGTCTAGATGTGCCTCATCTTTCAAATCCTCAGAGTCCAAGATGCGCCTCGCTTCCTTCTTGGTTTCAGACGCAAGCCCACGCTGTAAATCCTTCCAGTACTCGAGCTCCTGCTCTTTCTTCATCAACTTTTCGAGCCGCATCTTTGCAGCTTGCTCCTGCAGGCGACGTCCACTCTCCTTCTTCCGCTCTGCAATCCGCGCCAGTTCCTCCTCAGTTTTCTCTGGCACCACATGCTCCGTAAAAGGGTATTGAATGACATGATCCCTGTCCTCAAGCCCTGTCCACTCGAGATAGCTGCTCAGCTCCCGGTCATAGTCTGTAGATACGTAGCAATGCTTGTGAACCAAATCTTCCATCTGGCTTTCGGTCATTCGGGCGGGAAACGTGGGGTACTTTAGCTTCATAAGCTTGAGCAAGTACTCTGACGCATGCATGCCACCCCAGTTCAACCGCGAGCAATTCGAGAGCAAGGCTTTCGAGTTCAGGACAGGGATGACATGCGTCGATGTGTGAGACGAGGAGATAATCAAGCCATCGGTGCCTTTGTTGTACCGGTACGAAAATAATGAGTCGATTCCGTAAGCGACAGATGGTGCCGAATAGCACTCGAAGAGGATCTCGTTCATCACTACGCTGGTCAGATCATAGTCCTTGCAGAGCAAGCATTTACTCACTTCTTCTGGGGTAGTTCAAATTCGCGATCGGCTCTGTCATTACGATAGGCCGATCAACGCCTCCGTTGGCCCCATCAACTCCCAGCTTGATGAACACGTAGTCCAGCAATCCCTCCATCACATCCCAGTTTCCAACCACACTTGTACCAGGGTCAAAAGCATACCGCAGCTGGCCTCGAGTCGTAGCATCCACATAAGCGTCGTTACCGATGAATTGACAAGCTTTGTTGAGTTTTCGATCGCGGTATCGACTCATCACAGGGGGGAGGATAAAGCGCGGCGACTTGTCAAAAGACCAGCCCGCCTTGAGCAGACTTGATCCTGTAGTAGCAAACCAGAGTCAGTATGTTATGGCAGTCATCGAAAACAAATGGGTGAACTAGAACCAACCATTATCAATCACGATAGCGCTTGTAGAGGGTTTCGACCTGCTCCGTTCATACCCATCGGGTTGCGGCGGTTGATACCCTTTGAACGGATTCTCCTGCACATTGTATATTTTCGGAGGAGGCTTCGCCGCGTTCTTCTCGGTTGGAGTGACCGCAAGGCGACCGGGCAAAAGGGTCTGCACTGAGGTAATCGTCATGGCGACTAGCTGTAGAGGACAAATCGGCGCAGCAACTCAGGTTGGTGGGCGATTCACCGCATCGCCAAATCTGTTGCAAGCAGGAGGTAACAGGATAGAGGCGGGTTGGCAATATCCGCAATATGTGCACGATGCTGCTGCTCTAAATCGGTGGATGAGGGAGCGAGCGTTGACTGTGAAGGGCGATGAATCTGGGCGTCCGATCCCCAGCTTTGCTCGGCGGAGAGGGAAGCGACTCTGGCGGCGTTTGTATAGTGCCAAGCCTGACTTGCAGTTGATGAGATTGCTCCACTCAAAGGCAATCAACATCAATATTGGCTCTTTAGAGATGCATCGCCTGTAGATTTGCATATTAGGTCTTTATTGACTGCTTACTCTTGGCTCTCCCTACCCTCATCGCTTTTAGCTCTATTCTTGCTCAGGGTCTACAGAAAAGGGGGAAAAGACTGAGGAAAAACTGGATTGAAATATGAGGTCGTTATCATTCATTACAAGCTAAATTCAGAGAAACAAGGTGGACAATCTCATCGTCCTTATGATGGCTCCTTCAGATTCTCCGTAGCTACATCAGATCAGCAAGACTGTAGCCTTCCCTGAGGTAGGACAACTCATACCTTCCAAGTGGAAGAGAACGTTAGACTGGTAGTTCTTGAACATCTGGGCCACAAGCTCCACGTTCATGTTCTGGATGTTGACCTCCTGATAAACCACTGTGAGCATCATACCATTGAATATGAGCAGAAGAAGTGTACCTGGAGGCTCTTGTTCATGACCATGATTGACTCGTTGAGTTTCTCCTACCAGCAATCAGTCATGCAGGCCTTCCAACAATGTGGGGATAGTAACATACGATGTTGCCGATAATTCGAGAAAGCAATAGCGCTTGCTGGTGCTCGTGTGGACTCTCCTAAGATTTTTTATCAGTTTATCAATCAAAGAAAGACTCCATTTCGAACCTACCATTTTTGACTTGGTATCGAGATGGGCGTGATGTACTTGTAGAGGCAATGTTTGTTTATAGCGCGACTACTGGGTATCAACTACAATTCATCACGTGATCTGTAGTTGTCTTTGTTTCCCGGCTGTCACTGCGCCCGATGAGCGACAGGAACTATTTAGAATATGATTTGAGAATAAAATTCCAAATTTCATAGATCTGAACTTGCTTTACAGCTATTCTGTTATCCCAAACACTGTGCCAATTAACTTTGGAGAGTGTCCGCCGTTTGTCATCCGGTTACCGTACCAGCGGATGACCATGTTCCAGACACTTTGAGCTTCTACCACGACATCAAGGTTACGATTCTCTACAACGTCAAGACAGCGCATCATCCACTCCATCCGCATCGTCCTTTCACAAATAATAATCAATCATGGGTGCCCCTCCTACTCCTGCCGAAAGTCAGGAACATCAGCAACTTCTCAACCGCCTGGACATCGCCCAGGTTCCACGCCCCTTCCGCAACCCGCACTGGAGGCCGTCGCAGCGTCGCAACAAGAACGTCAAACAACTTATCTCTGAAAACTCCAGAAAGGAGGCGTCTGTTATGGTGACACAGTCGAACTCTGGCGCATCGACTCCTTTACAACCCAGCACCGACGGCAGCCAAACGCCCTTTGAAAGCTCCGCTCGCACGAACATCGCTCAGGCGGCGCAGAACCTGTCGACACTCGTGTTGGAGAAGAACGCAAGGGCTATGTTTCCATCGGGGCCTGCGGTGACATATACCAACATTGAATCTGCTCCATCACTCCATCCGTCACAGCACACGCGCTACTGCGATATCACGGGGCTTCCGGCACCATACACAGACCCCAAGACTCGGCTCAGATACCATGATAAAGAGGTGTTCGGGGTCATTCGGACATTGAGCCAAGGTGTTCCAGAGAGCTATCTCGAACTGAGAGGAGCTCATGTCGTGCTGAAATAGACGGTTACCCATCATGTTATGAAAGTTCTACGTTCGTGCACACCAAGAGCAGGTAGGTTACAATATCCTCCGTGGAAATTCAGATTTCAGAGATTAACATGTTACTATTTTCAAGACTATCACTTGCAAGATACGAGTGCATGTACGACCAACACAGTCAAGCCCTCTCCACCCGCCGTGCCCCTCTCGAGACAGGTTCAAGAAAGCGCTCCGGCTTATTCGTGATCTTTAAGAGAATCGATCTTCGCCTCGTGCTGAAGCACTCGACTATTACCGACGCTCCACGGACGGAACGTCAGTTACAGCATCCAGGGATGCTGTCGTCGCGGCGTATACTTGGGTTGTTTATGGCAGAGGCCAGAAAACGTCAGAAGGAAACTCATGAGCAAAGGGGTTGTGAACCCCAGATTGATCATGGCTTATCAATTCTGGACATTATCCGATCCATCCTATAATATTAAGAGTTCGGATCCATGATAGGTTTTCTAATTGAGTTTCGTAGCCAGCCAAATATAACTCTTTCCGCGTGACTAAAAATTCAGCATCTTGAACTGTAGAAAGCGGAAACGAGGTCATCAATAGGCCATCGTAAACTCGTTGCAAGTCAGTTTGGCAGAGGAGGCAAGAGGACAAAAGAAAAACAGCCAGATGTGCGGGTTTTCCGGTAGTACGTCCAAGCGCAACAGACCGCCCACCGCATCCGGGATAGGCCATCCTCAGAGCCAAAAACGAACGTGGCAGAAACGAAAATGTTGGGAGCATGCGTTTATTTACTGAGTTGCAGGGAGATTTCTTGAATATCTGCCAGACCGAAGGCGAAAGAGCACAACAACTCCAGATCTCTTCCTGAATACAGAGTACTCATCGTCGCGACACTCGGCTGACCTGGGATTTCTATAAGCGTGCAACGAGTCCCCTCAATTTGTGTACATTGTTCAATACTCTCCGCGATTCACCTGGCAAACTCTCAAGATGCCCACCATGTGGCTTTCGGACAACCAAAGTAGGACCGCCGGAGCATCATCCAAGTAGACGCGCTCGCTAACATGTATAACAGAAATTGGTGTTATCTTTTGTTCTGCAGGTAGGCGGGACCAAATCCACTGCCAGGGATCTTTCCGATATGCTCAGCCAAGGACTGACGCGGTGCGGCTATAGGAGGCCTGTTCCTGATTGGAGGCGTTGTGATGTTCTTTGATCGTTCGCTGTATGTATCCCTTTGATATACTTCTGGGAGCATTCGTGCTAATGTTCGGACTTAACACAGGCTCGCGATGGGAAACGTGTGTACCCCATTCTCGCAAATCCTGCGCTGCTATTGATCACGCGACAACCTCCGAAAGACCATAGCTAACGTCGCAGCAGGTCCTTTTCCTCATCGGCTTGACGTTAATCATTGGAGTTCAACGGACGCTCGCCTTCTTCTCGCGCCGCCAAAAACTCAAGGGCACTGCCGCCTTCGCAGCAGGCATCCTCCTCATACTGTTTCGCTGGCCACTGACAGGTTTCCTCATCGAATTATACGGTCTCTTCATCCTCTTCGGCGATTTTCTTGTAACAATCGGTCAATTCGCTGGAAATATCCCGGTCGTCGGTCCTTATATCAAGACGGCATTGGAGACCCTGGCAGGTGGGAGACGAAACGCAGAGCTCCCGGTATAATAACCACAACGCAAGCTGAAATCGTCTGTCCTTGGGCGAGAGTCTTCCCCGGGGACGAAGAGGAGTATCGACGATGTTACGTGTACGACTATACAGACTTGAATGATGTCAAGACGGCCATGACACGGCATGAAGATCACGACCGCTTTCGCAGCTTCGCTTCATTAGCGTTTGAGCGAGTCTAAAAAGGATTGGATCTGTATGAGCTGATGTGATATAATTCTTATATTTTGTAATTACTAATCCTTCGTGCGTCGGTAGCAGTCTCCTGCCACCGACTCTTATCTTTCTTCGATGCACTATATAATACATAGAAACAGGCAAATCCAACGCTTGGTGTGCATCGCGATCGTGCCTAAGGGCTAGGACAACTGGTATATGATTCAAGCATTGTCATCTCTAGAATTGCGAGTGTACTAAAACCAGTACATATTGAAGATATCTACGTGCTATGGACAGTTAAGACATGACGCTGAGAAGAAAGGTCACCAGCATAGTTTCACATCCGACTAAGGAAAAAGTGGTACACCGCTCTTGTGCCGTTTCGGAATAAAATAGTAATAGAAAATCGAACAATCAATACAACTTCATTTTCGGCGCTCCTCTATCGTCTACCGGGGGTTGTTGATGTAGTCGACGAGGTTCTCGACAACGGTTGCGGCGTTGGGGGTCTGGACACCCTCGCCGTGGTGGGCGACCATGACGCAAGAGACGGCCTTGACGACGACGATACCCTCCTTGCCCTATAGCGATCGACCGTCAGCATTCACCATTTCCCTATCCCTAACCTCAAAGGTCGATAACCGCATATGAAAATGTAGTTGGTTACCTTCTTGCCGTAAAGACTGCGCTCATCAGCCTTGATGGCGACAAACTTGTCTCCTCCGACCACAAAACCGGTTGCGAAAGCACTGCCGGGCTTATCGAAAGCAGCCTTCAGACCGGCGATTTCCTCCTTCGAGATCTATAGCGAGGCGAGAAAGTTATTGACGTGATCATGAGGGTGCTTGTTTCCATGGACATTGCCAGGGATTGGGCCGGAGCTCCGCCAAATGTGATGCCAGTGTTGGAACGTTCTTCATACCTGGAAATTAGGGGACTGGGCCTCGACGTCGGAGAAGTCGTAGCTCAGGATGGCGGCCTTGTCAAACTGGCCGGAGCCCATCAGACTGGTAGATTTGGCTCAGGTCAGAAAAAAAAGCGGATTTCGAAGATTGGTGATGCAGCGAAGGCGGGGTAGAGGTGGGATTGTACGATACCTGGAATCAACATATCCTGTTCGGTAGAATTCAGACGTTAGCTTTGTTTTATCTTCTGCAATAACCATAGAGGATTGCAAATCCAGCTAACGTCTATAACGACGTATGCAACACATAGCCGTACCTTGCCAAACTGCCGAATGCTGACCCATGTTGGTGGTCGTGTAAACAAATTAACGGGATAGAGCGGATTAGGGGAAGCTATTTTGTCGAGTGGTTAGATAAGACGAGCCAAGAGGGATGGGCCAGCAGGGATTAAACTGACGGAAAGAGGAGGGAAGAAGGCGACAAGAAGTCACAGCAAAAAGTTGGAGATGATGATGGTGGTTGTGGGTTGAAGAGGGGAAGAGAGCACAAGGTGATATTTAGAGTGGTGGGCGTGAGAGACAGCAACGACAAGCTAAGGTAGGTAGAGTCAGGTTAAGGTGGGGTGGCTATCCGTCTGGGAGGCAACGCCCCGCCATTTCTTCTACGTGATGGTAATCCTAAGAGTAGGCGAGCCTGTGACACAATAGATTCCCTTCCTCGCTCTCAGAATATTATCCAAAGTCTCATCATAGGGCCTGTTGATATGTTAATGCTTAAAATGTACCCTGATACTATCCAGCGTCTCCATCCTGTCACTTTCAGCAGTTGTATCGCAACGGCTCTAGTTTGAAAGCCAACCACTTTAGTTGACAATAGTTGCTAAGCTATTCTTCTGCTTTGTCTAAGTACGTCCAAGTCTCTTTCCACAGTTCCACTTTGAACAGAAACCCAGCAACACCCACCGATCAACAGAGTTTTGTCTTTGGCCTTCCCACTATTTCTTGCTATCATCTACAGGGTCCCCTTCACCGCCTGTTCTAGTGTGAACTATTTGAGTCTTGTTGATGTATGCGCCCGACTCTTGTATTACTGAAGGGGTGCTCGGCGCCTATCTTGATACTTGATATCTTTATCTCATGGGCTCATAGACTTGTATGGGGCACGTGCCTGTCATCTTTGTACACTAGCCAGCCAGTCACACGGCGATCATGTGTCTCTGGCTCTTTCGGATTATTGTTTTTTTACTTCAACCTCTCCTTAGTAAAAACTTGGACTAAACTTGACTCGTCTGACGGACTGAATA